AAGACTTGGAACCAACCCAAATGCCCATCAATGAGAGACTAGATAAAGAAAATGTGGCACATATGCACCATGGAATACTATACAGCCATAAAAAAGGATGGGTTCCTGTCCTTTGCAGGGACATGGATGAAGCTGGAAACTATTCTCAGCAAAGTGACACAAGAACAGAAAACCAAACACCGCATGTTATCACTTATAAGTGGGTGTTAAACAATGAGAACACATGGATACAGGCAGAGGAACATCGCACACTGGGGCCTGTCTGGGGGTAGGGAGCTAGGGGAGGGATAGCAGAGGGTTGGGGGATTGGGGAGGGATAACATTAGGAGAAATACTTAATGTGGATGACCGGGGGATGGATGCAGCAAACCACAACAGTATGTGTATACCTGTGTAACATACCTGCTCTATCTGCACATATACCCCAGAACTTAAATTAAAGAAAAAAAAGAACACAAGAAACATGAAAAAGCAAGAGAAAGTGACATCTCCAAGGGAACACAATAATTCTCCACCAACAGATTCCAATGAAAAGAAAATATGAAATGTCTAAAAAATAACTCGAAATCGTAATTTAAAAGCAGCTCAGTGATATCCAAGAGAACACAGATAAAACAATGCAAAGAAACCAGAAAAACAATTCAAGATATGAATGAGAATTCACATGGTGAGATGAGAAACCCCATCTCTACTAAAAATAAAAAAATTTTTCAAATTAGCCAGGCATGGTGGCACATGCCTGTAGTCTCAGCTACTCAGGAGACTGAGGCAGGAGAATCACTTGAACCCAGGAGGCAGAGATTACAGTGAGCTGAGACTGTGCCACTGCACTCCAGCCTGGGCGACTGAGTGAGACTCCATCTCAAAATTAATCAATTAATTAATTTATTTATATTGTTGACTCATTAACATTGAACTCACAGCCAATGGCACTACAGAACTCGTGCCTGAATTAAGTTTATTTAATGCATGTATTTTCTCTGTTAAAGCACATCACAGACTTCTTAAACTTGTGAATGCTAAGCAGCACTTCAGCTCTTCGCTTGGGGGCTACTTTAAACGGCAAAATAATCAATAAAAAGTACAAAAATAGAAAACAGCATGGCATTAAATAGACCACAAAAAGGATACCTGGCTGTTGTATGAGATCTGAAAAAGAAGGCAAGTATCACCCTGTTCACACTCAAATTTTTTGCCACTCTGTGCAAGCACATGACCACAAATGACTATAAAAGTACTATGAGTACTAATTTTGGAGTTACAAAAAATAGTGAGTTCACAAATACGGAAGCTGCAAACAAGGAGGATCAACTGTATTTTCCTAGACAATCTAATCTCAAACAAGATTTGAATTCAGGCCGAAATCATAAGAATTAGAAAGGGGCACTAGATGGGGGAAAATAGTGAAAATCAGAATTAAAACAAAGGCTCAAAATTCTGCATCAACCATATTCAGTTCCACTTTAATACGTTTGTGACAGACTACATTATTGTTCCCAACCCATCACCCCTCCCGAAATCTACAACCTTTCCCCAAGACAACGTAGTTCCTCCTGCTAGAGACCGGGGGGGGTTTATCTATTCTATCAGTGTTAGCCATGGACAAGTTATGGCTTTGGTTGACTGCATGTTAGTGGACATGATATAAGCAATGGCTTAAAATGTACTTCCAAAACTGGAGTTTCCTTGTGATTCTGCTATCGCTGTGACAAAAACATATCCTCAGGTAATCCACTGATCCAAGGAGGAACAAACACACAGAAAACGGACCTAGACTGTATCTGCAGCTTCGAGCCTCACCAAGCCAAGAACAGTCAACTCACAGACATGTTAGCAGAAATAAATGTTGTTTTGCACCTTATGTTTCATATAATTATTCACCTATAGTTAACTGATACATAATATACATTAATTTTTAAATATCATTATACCATTAAAAATATTTACTTAAAAAAATTGAGACCACTTTCTTTCCTCCTTTTTTTTTTTGAAATTAAGAGACAGGGTGTCCCAATGTTTCCCAGGCTGGAGTTCAATGACTATTCACAAGCACGATCATTGCATACTACAACCTCAAGCTCCTGGGATCAAGTAATCCTCCTGCCTCAGCTTTCCACATAGCTGGGACTACAGGTGTGTACAACACCATGTCAGCTCTTTCTCTTCTTCTTGTCCTAAAGCCTAGCAAAAAATTAGCTGAGCAGAATGTTTCCAAAGATGCCTGCATCAATGTCTCCCATCCAACATAATTTATTTGATTTTGCCATTCACCCATAAAATGGTGGGCTCTACCCCCACTCCCTGCAAATTTGAGCTGGCTCTCTGATTCTGTGTAAGATCTGAAGCCAGATATTAAGGTACTTAATTAATTTCCATGTTTGTCCTTTATAACCTAGCAATCAAGCAAGAAGTCAAACCCTACTGATATGGTTTGGCTGTGTCCCCACCAAAACCTCACCTGGCGTGGCAAAAATTCCCATGCATGAAGGGTTGGGCCCAGTGGAAATAGCTGAATCATGGGGGTGGTTCCCCCCATACTGTTCTCGTGGTAGTGATTAAGTCCATGAGATCTGATGGTTTTATAAATGGGTATTGCCCTGCACATGCTTCTTTTGCCTGCCAATACGTAAGACATGATTTTGTACCTCCTTGCCTTCACCATGATTGCGAGGCCTCCTCAGCCATACAGAACTGTGAGTCAATTAAACCTCTTTCCTTTATAAAATACCCAGTCTCAGGTACATCTTTATTGGCAGTGTGAGAACAGACTAATACAATACATTGGTACCAGTAGAGTACAGCACTGCTGTAAAGATACCCAAAAATGTGGAAGCAACTTTGGAACTGGGTGGTAGGGAGAGGTTGGAACAGTTTGGAAGGCTCAGAAAAGAACAGGAAAATGTGGGAAAGTTTGTAACTTCCTAGAGACTTGTTGAATGGCTTTGACCAAAATGTTAATAGTGATATGGACAGTAAGGTCCAGGCTGAGGTGGTCTCAGATGGAGACGAAGTATTTGCTGGGACTGGGGTAAAGTCACTCTTACTATGTAAAGAGACCGGAGGCATTTTGCTCCTGCCCTAGAACTTTAAACTTGAGAGACACGATTTAAGGTATGTGGCAGAAGAAACTTCTAAGCAACAAAGCGTTCAAAAAGAAGCAGAGCATAAACTTCAGAAAATTTGCAGCCTGATAATGCAACAGAAAAGTAAAACTATTTTCTGAGGAGACTGGGTTGTAGAAATTTGCATAGGTAATGAGGAGCCAAATGTTAATCACCAAGACAATGGGGCAAACATCTCCAGAGTATGTCAGAGACCTTCACGGCAGACACTCCCATCACAGGCCTGGAGGCCTAGGAGGAAAAAATGGTTTCATGGGCCCAGGATCACCCTGCTGTGTGCAGCCTAGGAGCTTGGTGCCCTGCATCCTAGCCATGCCAGATATAGGTAAAAGGGGCCAAAGTACATCTCAGGCCATGGACTCAGAGGGTGCAAGACCCCAAGCTTTGGCAGGATCCACGTGGTGTTGAGCCTGCGGATGCATAGAGGTCAAGAATTAAGGTTTGGGAATCTCAGCTTAGATTTCAGAAGATGTATGGAAATGCCTGGATATCTAGGCAGAAGTTTGATGCAGGGGCAGGGCCCTCATGGAGAACCTCTGCTAGGGAAGTGCAGAAGGCAAATATGGAGTTGGAGCCCCCCCCACAGAGTCCCCACTGGGGTACTACCTAGTGGAGCTGTGAGAAAAGCACCGCCATCCTCCAGCCCCAGAATGGTAGATCCACTGACAGCTTGCACTGTGTGTCTGGAAAAGCTGCAGACACTCAACACAGCCAGGAACAAGGTTGTACCCTGCAAAGCCACAGGAGTGGAGCTGCCCAAGATCACAGGAACCCACTTCTTTCATCACCTGGATGTGACACACAGGAAGTCAAAGGAGGTTATTTTGGAGCTTTAAGATTTGACTGCCTTGTTGGATTCTGGACTTGCATGGGGCCTGTAGCCCTTTCGCTTTGGCCAATTTCTCCCATTTGGAATGAGTGTATTTATCCAATACCTGTATCCCATCGTATCTAGACAGTAACTAACTTGCTTTTGATTTTACAGGCTCATAGGTGGAAGGGACTTGCCTTGTCTAAAGTGAGACTTTGGACTATGGACTTTTGAGTTAATGCTGAAATTCTGAGTTAAGAGTTTGGGGGACTTTGGGGAAGGCATGATTGGTTTTAAAAGGTGAGGACATGAAATTTGGGAGGGGCCAGGAGCAGAATGATATGGTTTGACTGAGTCCCCACCCAAATCTCACCTTGAATTGTAACAATTCCCATGTGTCAAGGGCAGAACCAGATGGAGAAAATTGAATCATGGAGGCAGTTTCCCCCATACTGTTCTCATGGTAATGAACAAGTCTCATGAGAGCTGATGGTTTTATAAATGGGAGTTCCCTTGCACATGCTCTTTCCTGCCTGCCACCATGTAAGACATGACCTTGCACCTCCTTGCCTTCCACCATGATTGTGAGGCCTCTCTAGCCATGCAGAACTGTGAGTCAATTAATCTTTTTCCTTTATAAATTATCCAGTCTCAGGTAGGTCTTTATTAGCAGCATGAAAACAGACTAATACATCTACTAAGACTACCACACTGTGAAAAGACCCAAACTAGACATGTGGCAAGAGAAAAAGAGAGAGAGAGGCAGAGAGCCAGCAAGAAGGGAATGGGTGAGGTATAAGTAAGGAAGAAGCAAAGACAGAGAGAGATGCCATGGAGTAGGACACCAACTGCAAACCACTTTGTGTCTTAGAGCCTTCCTAGTGCTCCCGCTGATACTATATGAAGCAGAACGTCTCAGTCAATACAACAATTGTGAGAACAAGTAAATTGCTATTGTTTTATGACACTAATTTTGGGGTGAATTATTACATGATAACTAAAATAAGTTGCTAATAAATGTGTACTGAATTAATTAAATTCCTTAAAATATTCTGTTTAATGCTTACCTTGGTGTTGGCCATGTCCACAATATACTGGTCTCCCTTTATACATTCCATTACTTCAAAACCATCTCTGTCAATCACCTTGGCCTGAGAACTTCCAGATACAACAAGAATCATGTCTCCTGTGTTACTATACTGTAATGACTTGATCTGATGGCTGTACAAAAAGAAAAGAAACATTAGTAAGATACTGAGCACAACGTTCATAGTTTTACTACCTTAAGTAATGCCAGGAAAAAAATATTACACAAATCGATAATTCCACAAAATAAGAAACATCAACCTCAAATGGGTTCTAAATACCCACTGGCAGCCAGGTGCAGTGGCTCATGCCTGTAATCCGAGCACTTTGGGAGGCTGAGGTAGATGGATCACCTGAGGTCAGGAGTTCAAGACCAGCCTGGTCAACATTGTGAAACTCTGTCTCTAATAAAAACACAAAAAATTAACCAAGTGTGGTGACGGGCACCTATAAATCCAGCTACTTGGGAGGCTGAGGCAGGAGAATTGCTTGAACCTGGGAGATGGAGGTTGCAGTGAGCCATGATGGCGCCATTGCATTCCAGCCTGGGCAAAAAGAGCAAAACTCCGTTTTAAAAAAAAAAGAATACCCACTGGCTATCCTGGTAGCTCTCTCTTCCCACTCTCCACTGCAATCTATTAAAACCCTCTCTAATTACCTTGTATCTTCAATCCAACCAACTCTCCCTCTTTCAGCTGTTGAATCTTCTGGGCCTTTCTCAGAAGAAACAAGAAGTGCCTCAACTTCCTCTCATTACTTTAATAAACTTAATTGTACCTAAACTTTCTTCCTCCTCCTCTTTCATTACAATCATAGAAATGAACCTCTTCCAGCCCATGGCAAATCATACTTATATCCTGGATCTCATCTCTCCCAGTCTCCTCAGGCCCTTCTACTGACAATATTCTCACTCTCCTCCCCTTCACAGCTAAGCTGTTTGAACAAGTTTTCAAGCCTCCTCCTTTTTTTTTCTTTTTTTTTTCTCCCTTTTGTTATCTAGCAAATCAAGCCTCCTCATCTCCTCATTTAATCCTCTAGCACTACAGTATCCTTTCCACCACTCACCACTCCACTAAAACTGATCTTGTCATTGTGGCTGTAGTGAATACAGTGGTGTGCTACCCAGAATTCCCCCTTCAGAAGTGAAATTCATTCTCCCAGCTTCCAGGATTTTGCTTACCAATGGCTAATAGCTAAACCCTCAGGAATTTCCCTGAGTTGCAACTCCCTCACCCAAAATTATGCTGCCATACCATCCCAAAATAGCCCACATTCAATGACTTGTCAATATCCAGTAAAATAGTCTATTCCTGGAATATCTCACTAGCTTTGGATCTCCCTGTAAAACAGTTGGTGCTGCTGTAGCAATTACATGGCAATTCAATTTCCCCATCTTCCCAATGTTGTTTCCCTTGCATCCTCTCTCATGAGGATTGACCCCAGAAGCACGCCCCAATATAAACTTCTGACATGCAAATATGGACATTTCAAAGTGTGTTTTGGGAAACTTGACCTGGGAGAGTTGGTACCAAAAGTGGTCCCGGGAAGTTTTGACTCCAAATGAGAATTTGATGCTGTATCAACCACAAACTTGCTAGCAATGACGAATCAATTACTGGTGGCACACAGTCCCTAATATGCCACAGCAGGACAACCACAATTGCTGAAAGTTTTGTTGGTGAAAGAGAAGCCATGGCAGGTGTAATGTTTCAGGCACTTGTGAGTACAGAGAAGTAATTAAAAGGACTAGAAATTGGATAGCTGTTGCTAGGAGCAGTCAATGCAATGGAGAAAAACAATGAAAGACTGAGTATGATAAATCACCAATTAAAGACTACAGTGTGAAAGCCAGAGAGTCTCTTTGGCAGCATATAAAGATGGGGTTATTGGTCTCTGTCAGATAAATGGTATGTAGTCATTGATCTCATAAAGCATGTTTTTCTGCCTCTATGAAGGAGGACTAAAAGCAGCTGACAGTCACATCCAACCAACAGCAGCATACATTTGCATGCCTGAATCAGGGGTATATTAATTTTCCAGTCTTTAGTCTTAATATAGTCTCAAGGGATCTAGACAATCCAAAAAAATTCATGTTGATCCATGGTCTAAATATCACATTAACTCAATAAGGTGAGCAAGAAATAGCACAAACACTGGTAAGATACAACCTCTCCAGAAAATGAGAGATAAACCCTATAAAAGAACAGGAGATTGAGACAAGGAGATGAGGGGAAGATGCATGTAGACAGACATATGAAAACAGGCAAGTATGAAGCTCTTTGTGTTGCATGTTAATCCCAGAAAGTATCAACCTCAAAAGAAGCAATGAATAACTATGCACAGTGGCTTGGCCAGTTTGGGTGACATTAGCCAGTTTTTCTCATCATTCGCCCTACCGTTAACACAATAGCCTTGTAAATGAAATAGTTGTGGTGGCACGAATAGAAGTTACAGATAAGCCCAATGGCAACTCTAACTTGATCTAACTCTTATTGCTGCTGAAGATCCAACCTGCCAACTATGGTGAGCCCTCCCTCCCAAAATCAGTACTAAGCTAATAAATAAGTAAAATGTATCATATGAAAAAATGATAATACACATGTGGGGGAAATAGAGCAAGGAAGGTAAGAGGACAGGGATAAATATTTTAAATAAGGAGGTCAAGAAATAAATGAATAGCCAGAATTACAGAATCACTTAAAATAAAGGTAAAATAGGGCCAGGAGCAGTGACTCACACAGGTAATCACAGCACTTTGAGAGGCTACAATGAAATACTACTACATGTCCACTAAAATGACGAAAATTTAAAAGGTTGACAATACAAAGTGTTGGCAAAGATGTAGGGTAATTTTTGTGGACTGTGGGTAGGAGGGTAGATTGGTTCAATCACTTTCAAAATCTATTACAAGTACCTGCTAATGGGCAGGTACAGTGGCTCACAACTATAATCCCAGCACTTTGGGACGCCGAGGCGGGCAAATCACTTGAGTTCAGGAGGTTGAGACCAGCCTAGCCAACAGAGCGAAACCCCCATCACTACTGAAAATACAAAAATTAGCCAGGCATGGTGGCTCACGCCTGTAGTCCCAGATCCTCAAGAGGCTGAGGCAGGAGAATTGAACCTGGGAGGTAGAGGTTGCAGTGCGCTGAGATCATGCCACTGCACTCAGCCTGGGCAACAGAGTGAGGCTTGGTCTCTGAAAAAAAAAAAAAAAGTACTTGCAAATGCAGAATGTATGCATAAACAATGACCTAGCAATTCCACTACCAAGTATACACCCAACAGAAACACAAATATATGTTACAAAAGACATCTACAAGAATGTTCACAGAAAAACTATTCATAGTAGCCCCAAACTGGAAGTAAGTCAAATGTCCATAGGCAGAAAATAGCAAAGCAGATATATATTCATACACTAGCAAACTGTACAGCAATTAAAATGTACAAATTTCTGCTACAGACAACTCGGATATATTTTACAAATATAATCAATTGGAAGAAGCCAGACAAAAAAAGAACATATGCTATTATTTTGCCCATTTAAGTAACATTCAATTATAGGCTAAAGTAATTTATGGTGCAAGTAGTCAGGATGAGAAGGGTGTGGATAATATCTGGTAAACAAGTTTCTGGCGCTGGTAAACATTCTACTTCTTCCATCTGGATAGCAACTACAAGGATGCATTCATTTTATGATTAGTCCTCCAGCTACAGCCTTAGTAGTATTGTAGTTCTAAATATTATATTTTAATTTAAACATTATAAAAATTAGAGACATCTGAAACAGTTTTATGTTAAGGCCCTTAATTCACCAGTAAGGACATCAAATGGGGACACTACCATATTTTACAGTATAATTTAATCCTTAAAAGCTAGAAAATTCTCAGAATAAACTAAGAAGTATATGTAAAATGTTTTGTGGTTTAAATTGTTTGAGGACTTTGGTTTTTTGTATGGTTTTTTGTTTGTTTGTTTTTTGCTTACATGGGCATACTTCAGTTTTTAATAATGTGAAAAATCCTATTTACCCATTGCTAACGTGTATGAACTATCTGAGACAATTTTATACCATAAAAGGTGAACTTTTATGTATCAAACAATAATTTAACAAAAAGTGTAAAGGAAGAATGTTCATTACAAATACAGGAAATATAAACATTACCAAATATTGGCGAGCACCAAAATGTCCAGATATAAAGGTCTATTAGAGTTACAGCTCCCGTAAGCAAAAAAATAGCAGAGAAAAACTTAGTTTACCTTAGGGGCTATTTATTTACTTGTTAAAAGGTCAAACGGGTCACACAGAATACTAAGAAGAGCTGTTCATCCAGGCCTCACTAAGAACTCTTCTTCATTCAGTAGCTATACAGTAATATGACAACTGCTCCTATGACCCAAGGAGGAAATACAGAAACTACCATTTAGCATCTGTTGCTCCCAACTCTGCTTTGCAATTATATGACTCAAGTATTCTGTCTCTGTTACTATTACTTCTGTTACTCCCAATTAAATTCTCTCTAATCCTCCCACTCTGCTTTTTTAAGCTTTCTGCTGCCTCATGGCTTCAATTCCATCAGAGTTATGCATTCTGTTTTCTATTCGTACATTTTTGCTCTGCTTCCATTGCCAATTCCCTAGCAAAGTGTTCTATACTCAAAGTTCCAAAGAAACAGAATATCCAAGACATCACCAATCATCCAACAGTGTCAGTGTAGGAGGCCACAGTTAAGCGGAGCAAGACCATCAGCTTTCCTTATAGGCTCAAGACCAACAGGATGCTTTGGTCCTTTATCAACAGGATGCTTTTGGGGTAGATCCTACTGCCACCCTAGCTATGGCCACATGTCAGAGTCCCATGTAATAAAGGAGACAAAAGGAAACCATCACAAGTATAAACTAAGAAAAGTACTCCAAGGTTTCTAAGAATGGAGCTGTATAACTCACTTCGCCCTGTTTGTTACTTCACAGCACTTACCATCACCTGTTATTATATATATTCTGTTTATAATCAGTCTTTCCTCATTAGAATGAAAATTCATGGGTATAGGGCTATCACTCAGTATCCACGGGGGAAAAGTTCCAGGATCTCCTGAGGATAACAAAGGATACTCAAGTCCCTGATGTACAATGAC